TCTGCATCTGCATGGTAAAACAAGGCCAAATTCACTGACACGAGCACTGATACGTGCACTGACAAATGCACTGATATGTGCACTGACCCGTGCACTGACACATGCACACTCTCTTATCTATGGATGCACATGTGTGCCTGCATCTGCATCTGCATGGGCAACCATGTCCACATGCACTGACCCTCGCACTGACTCGTGCATGCACGCTATCTTATCTATGGAGGCCCACGTGGAGGAGACACAAAGGAAGAAGAAGCCGGTGATGAGGAGAAGAGCAGTTACTTGCGCTTCATACACACCCAAGACTTTTCTGTGGACACCAGCTCTGCTTACATGTGTCAGTGTATTTCCGCATCTGTATGTGCATCTGCATCGGGTCGCAGAATCTCTGACACATTCAAGTAGTATAGCGCAAGATACGTCAGAATGCAGGCGCAGGCACACCGATACCCTCCAAAACGCGCAAAAAAAGATGTCAAAGCGCTCATGCAGAAAAAAAAACGCGGACGCAAACATGCAAAGAAGCGAAAATGCAAATATGACCGCGACATACAGAGATAGAAAAGAAAGCCAGATGCAGACATGCATGCAGAGATAGAAAAAAGGCAGATGCAGACATGCATACAGAGATGGAAAATATAGGCAGATGCAGACATGCATGCAGAGATAGAAAAAAAGGCAGATGCATTGCAGACATGCATACAGAGATAGAAAGTAAGCCAGATGCAGACATGGATGCAGAGATAGAAAGAAGGCAGATGCAGACACATACACAGTATTATACACAGAAATAAAATTCAAAGGTAGCAAGTGTACACTCGCCGCTTTCTTTTTTTTTTCTGTGTCTGAATACCAATACAAACCACATTGTTTCTGCTGGCCGCTCATAAAAGTCGGTAGGATCCCCCCCAAGTTTGAATCCCCATGCAAATTAGCTCAGTTGGTACACCCGTGAACTGTTGAAAATTGAAATACAGACCCCAGTTTGATTCCCCATGCAACAAAAAGACGGCCTAAAAGTAAGTCAGCAGGTTGTGGGTGACTCTCATGACTCTCGTCTCATCAGAGGGAGAAACGAAAAACAGCAGGAACAGCAGGGAGTTTTACGCAGGCCTGAACCTCTCTCTATTCAGCAGCTGCAGCTGCACAGAGACTCGAGCAAAGCCGGACGGAAAGAGAAGTACGAAAGCGAAATTTCGAGACCGCCAGCGACGACAATTTGAAACCTTGCACAAGGCGGACAAAAAAAAAAAGAAAGCCAAAGAATGCTGGCAGTCGTGTCAAGCGTTCTTTACAAAATACAAATCTGTTTGAGGGTGTTTGAAAAGCAAGTTTGCCAGTCCCTCGAGACATCCGTTAAAATTGGAACGATACAGAGAAACAAGATTAGCATGGCCCCTGCGCAAAGATGACACACCTAAATCAAGAAATGGTCGAAATTGGAAAAGGTGTAAAAAAAAAAAAAAAAAAAAAAAAAAAAAGAAGGCAATTTGGCCAATGGTTGTCATTATTCCACTGCCCTCTGTCAGCCTGCTGCTTGTGCAGTGTGGGTTCACAGCAACCGGGACCAACTGGGACTGGGCCCAGGTGAGAATCCAGGACAGGGACTCTGGATTCTGGGACTGGGCCCAGGTGAGAATCCAGGACAGGGACTCTGGATTCTGGG